GGAGCACACATGAGTACATCGTGTTGGCTCAAAGGTAGAGCCAAAATTCAACCAATGCACATCAGCAAGCCTATCTGTGTCGCTCAGAGCTGGCATCTGTTGTTGCTCATGCCACACCTATAGGCAGATATCTTTGGCACACTCCTATTTTAAAGACTAGGGTTATTAAGGGCACAAAGTCAAGACATAAAGGAAATGTTTTAATCCTTGATTTAATGTCCTTATAATCCAAAACAGCCAACTGAGATGTGCTGTGAGATGCGCCTTGAAGGTGTGCCCAAGGTGTGATAATGGCATGAAGGGTTAGCGTGTCTTCCTCTGTTCTGGGGCATTAGGAGTGGCTGCTCCGAGGAGGTGTCTAGGAGTCACCACTGAAAGAGATTCAAGGCCTGCCTGGTGGATGGAGAAAGGAATCAGGAAGAGGATCTTACAGGCAGAGCAGCAGTGGGGAGGAAAGACACTCATGCTGTGTCTTATTGGTCTGGTTAAGAAGGGGCAAATCTCTCTCCAGCAGGTTTGGAAAGTGGAGTGATGAAAATATGAGTTTAATTTTTAGGTTTTGGGTGGTTTTATTTTATTTTTACCTTTATAAATTTACAAGAGAGAGAACAAATATTAAAAGGTGCTTAATATATAAATCTATAAAAATAATCATAAAGTATACTTCTATATTACCAATAGCACTAGAACATAGAGTATTTCATAGAAAAATGTACTTCCCGGGCTGGGGCTGTAGCTCAGTGGCAGAGCGCTCACCTAGCATGTGCGAGGCCCTGGGTTTGATCCTCAGCACCACATAAAAATGAATAAAATAAAGGTATTGTGTAAAACTACAACTAAAAAATAAATATTTTAAAAAATGTAGTTCTCCACTATCACAAAACTAAATATGGATTATACATGGAAATGGTTATTAATTAGACTGTTAAATACTTAAAGAATTGAGTTTGTAAACCAGAGTCCTAATGATATACTGCCTTGGAGCTCATTTTTTTTTATTATACCATTTTTTTATATACTATTGAATTAGTTTACACACACAAGATGGGTTTTTTCTGCAAATAAAAACGGGCCTAGGACGATCATGTTGGTGTCATGTTGGTTTGGTCTTTCTTTCTTTTTCTCTTTATTCTTTCTTTTTTTTAATACTGGGGCTTAAACCCAGAGGCACTTTCCCACTGAGCTATACACCGAGTCCTTTTTTATTGTGAGATAGAATCTCACTAAGGTACAGAGGCTGGCTTTGAACTTGCCATTGGTTTGCTTTGACCAGGGACAGGACAAGAGCCCCCTTCCCCTGAGCAGAGGCAAATGTGGCAGTTTACAGGAGAAGATGAGGTCGGCTAGTATTGGGGAATCGTTGGTGGGGCTGGAGGTACGAATCCCTAATTTATGGTCCTGTTTTTTGAGAGAAGAAGGTGGTCAGCAGATAGAGGCTATGATGGTGAACGTGGGTCCTGAAAAGATGGTAAAGGCGGGAAGGATAACGGGAGCCAGCACTGAGTGTCGGTTGTTCAGAAGAGAAAGGCCCATGGTCGAGAAGGTCTCAGGGCCACAGCCACGGCCGTTGCTACTGCTCAGCAGCCTTGGGGGGCCTTTTCCGGTGGTTAGGAAAGGAAGAGTTAAAATAGAAACTCTGCAGAGAAAGGGCAGGGGACCCAGGTGATGAACTTTAGTACAGCCTCCGGAAGAAGTGGCCTCGACTATAGAGGACCGTCAGGGAGACCATCTGACTCGCAGGGAGTGCCATTCGGCCCCGCAGCCTGATTCAAGCTGGAGCCAGCATCAGCGCAGCTTCCTACCACCTGGACCTGCTGAGCAGAGGAGGCCTGAGGCCCCCCGAGAAAAAGCAAAGGAAGATCTCAGAGAGAATGTAGCTTCCACCAGCCAACACGAGGATGTTGAGGTTTTCTCAGCTTGAGCCTGTGCTACTAGGCTCGGGGGAGAGGAAACAGAGGTGGTCCCTGCTGTGGTCTAAGTGAAGAGAGCCCAGTGAGATCCCCAAAGTGCAGGGCTGGGACAGCCCTAGTCAAGCCAAACTCAAAATCACAAAGCATCCTCCACAGCCTGCAGCCCGCTTCTCTCTTCCTGTCAACTTAGCTTCAGACTGACCATATACAGTCAAAGGAACTCCCTCCCCTCTGTCAAGATGGGCCTAGCCCGGGGCCCCGTTAACTGAATGGTCTCCTCTATGACAGAGAACTATCTCTCTCCAAGTTAACTATTGCATTTGCCTTTCGTGCTTCCCATTCAAACCCTGTGTTTGCTTTGCTTTTGTTTAGTATTCCTCTGCTTGGATTGTTCTACTTTGTTCTGAACACCTGGACCCTCGTCCCCCAAGGCCAATCCCTGGGGTCCCTATCTGAAGGACTCACCGTCTTCTCAGCCTCCATTTCACTCAGAAGGGATCCTGCCTGTCAGAGACACTTAGCATTTTCTACCTTCCTGTGTAGCTGTGATTGTGCCCACCTATTTTCCTCTGTCTGAAAGAAATTCTTACGGGTAGAATTAACATGCTTCTTTTGTTTCCTCACAAAAGCTGGCACAGTTCTTGGAGCATTGTTAGAGCTTCATGAATCTGTGTAATTCATTCAAGAGTGACTCTCACCAGGCACAGTGATACACACCTGAAATCCCAATGGATTGGAAGGCTGAGGCAGGAGAATCGAGAGTTCAAAGCCAGCCTCAACAACTTAGCAAGACCCTGTCCCTAAAAAATATATATATATAAAAAGACTGGGGATGTAGCTCAGTGGTTGCCCCATGTTCAATCCCCAGTACCAAAAAAAAAAAAAAAAAGAAAGAGTGACTCTTCATTTAACTCCCAAAAGTGACTGTAATATAGGAATTTCACACAGAATATCAGGGAGGCCTTATAGGCACCACACCCCTGAAATTTCACTCCCTACTCACAGGCCCTCAGAATAAAGAAACAGTAGCCCTCAAGTAACATGAAATCCCCACACACAGCTTGATTTAACCACTTTAGAAAATAGTGTGACAGCATTTGCTGTGTGGTAAGTATAGTCTCATACCCCACAATTCTACCCTGGAAATATACCCAACAGCCATGCCTGTATAAAAAGCTTGTAGCAGCATCATTACATAGAAAAAAAAAATGGAAACAACCCAAAACTCATCAATGATAGAATGAATGAACGAGGATACAGTCATATAATGAAACACTATGCCACCATGAAAACGATCGGTTACAAGTTACAACACAGATGAATTTCACAAGATATTGAGCAAAAGAAGCTAGGCGTGAGAATGCATACCAAGTGACTCCACTTATAGCTGGGTAAAACTAACCTATGATGTTAAAAGTCAGAACAGTGGTTTTATTTGTAGAAGAGGAAGTAGGTAATAAAAGGAAAAGAACACATGATAGTTCCAAGGGTATGTCCATTTAACAATAACTCCCTGAGATGTACATTTATAATTTTTGTGCTTTTCTGTACATATCTTGCACCCTAATCGGAAATGTTTCTGTAGAGATTGGTGGCACGTCCTAAAATTCCAACCAATTGAGAGGCTAAGGCAGGAGGATCACAAGTTCGAGGCCAGCCTGGGCAACTTAGTGAGATCCTGTCTCACAATAAAAATAAAAAGGGCTAGTAGTACATCTCAGTAGTAGAGATCCGCTGGGCTCAATCCCTACTGCTGCAAAAATAAATAAATAATAGGGTTTGTTTATAAAGACAATAGCCAAGTTACCCCTATAGTGATTTCTACGGCTGAATTCCCTTCAGGATAGTGCTGCAGCCAGGTTTCTAAGTCTCCTAATCTCTCTTCTAGCTATTCACATCATTCTTACTTTGAGAGGAGGTGCGTCAAGGAAGAGATAACTAAAAATGACTCCAGCCTTCTACAGCCGACCTGGATCCCAAACAGAACAGCCCCAGTTAGAGAGCACTCCTTTAGAAGGGAAAGTTTTCACATGATCTACATAAATAGATGGCAACCCTCAGAGATAACTGGAAAGACACTATCCCTACTCTTTTTTCTCCAGCATATCTTCTCACCCTACACCCAAAGTACCTCAGGATTCACAGTCTCCACCCTATCCTTTGGGACTTCCTTAAAAGGAACAACTAAAACTTAAATTTAGGGACCAAATGAATGTTAGGGCCCAGGCTCGCTCCTGTGGGCAGTGATTTGAAGGTTCCTGCTCCCCTACATATCTGACCCCAAAATCATTCCAGTCTGCCTCTAAGATGCCTGTAAATAATTCACGTATTCACTCAATAAACATACTTTGAGCACCTACTAAATTGGGCCCCATGCTCTGCCCTCATCACAGCTGTAATTTTATATTCATTCTGGTGACAGAATGTAGATTCCATGAACAAAGGAGCTATGGAACTTATTGAGCACTGGATTCTCAATGCCTAGCCCAGAGGCTGGTACAGAGCCACTCAAAATGTACTCAGGGAAGGAAGGGGAATAGAGAGGATGCTGTTATTATGGAAATAAATATTTATTGAAGGTCTTGCTTGTGTCTAGATGGTGAGGGTACGGCATGAACAATGCACAAAATCCCCTGATCTCAAGTTTTGCATCCTACCAGGCTGAATAAACAAGTAAACAGTGTAGTCTATAAGATGGAGATGGGTATTATGGAGAAAAAGTAAGTGGAGCAAGAGATAAGGGGTTGCAATATAGTATCATGGATGAGGAAGGCCTCATCAAGAAGACAGTATTTGAGCAAAAGCATGAGAAAAAGGAACAAGTTCAGGGCCAAAGAGGAAGCAGCATACCAGAAAGAGAAAGTTGTGGATACAGAGCCTTTGCAAAAGTTTTCCTAAGATCTCCCTTTCTCACAAAGCAAAAGCCATGCATTTTCCAAAGACCTATGCGATCGGGGCCACCTCCCCTTCCTCTCTCTCTTGCTCACCTCATTCCAGGTGATCACATAAGGTCTGGATTCTAATCTCCCAAAAGGACACAGCACCGAGTCTATGGCAGCCCTCACCCCATGTCAAGCTGAGGATCCTTACCTTGGCCGTGATGCCCCTTGAGGAGCAAGAGATGCAGGAGGGTGACAGCTAGCCCCAACATCCCCAAAGGGGCCCCTCGCTCCCTCCGACACTCAGCTGTGCACGGGCTTCGCTGTCACCAGTCCGCAGGAGAAGGAAGGGGCCTGGCTGCCTGTCCAGCCACAGTTTCCTCAACTCAAGGCTGTTCGCTTCTGCTGTGAGTTGATGAAGCCACTGAAAAAGTCCCAGCCCCCAGATCTGCTCTGAAGGTTCCCACAAGCTAAGCTCGCGAAGTTTGCCTCAAATGGGCAGGTGCTCAGAGTCTGCTGTGACTCACAAAACCGATTTCAAAATCTTATCCCTTGCTCTGCTCCAGTCCAGCCGCTTCATGCAAAAGGCAGAGGCCCCGGAAATGTCCCTTCATCCTAGTGGCGGTAGGCAGAGATCAACAGGGGGCCCCGAACAGCCATTATCCCAGCCTGTTCCCGTCCAACAGATATTGTGGAGATGAAGGGGAAAGGTTTTGGGGAGGATGTGGGCTGAGAAGCAGAGCCCTTGAGGGAGAGAAGGAGTCGCTAGGGTGACACAGGAAAGGACCTAAGCTTTGGGGACAAAAGAAAAATCTAACAGGCTCAGAGATCCTACGTAGTTTGATACCCAAGTTTAAGAACATGCAAATTATATTTGTTTCAGAAAAATCTGCTTTTGCTCCAAGTGTCCCATCAATACCTCTGTATTTCTTCCCTTTCTCTTTCTCTACTTTCCTATAGTAGTTCTTTCTTTCTCCTCTTGCTTTCCCTGGAAAGCTCCCTGGAAGCACCTGGACTCATTTTTATTCCCCTCCCCATCCCCATTGTGATTTGAGCCTCCAAAAGACCAGGCATCTTTGGATTTGGGGGTGGGGGGGGTTTATGGAGAGATGGGGACAGTGACATCCTATCACCCCCTTAGGGTTTGCTTCAAGGCCATACTCTAAGATTAATGCCCCTTTTCTTCTTCATTCCCCTTAGAAACAACCCCGTTCAGTCCTTCCTCTCCCCAAGTCCTCCTTTCTATTTTTTTTTTTCATCTTTTGATTCTTTTCCATTCGCCCTGTTGGAAGCTGGGCAGTGGGGAGGCAGACTGAGACCCTCTGTTGCCAGTGGAAGCAGCCATGGTGCTCTGGTCAGAGCACTGGATTTGGAATAAAAAATTGGGACTTGAGGCTCAGTTCTGCATTTACACCTGTGTGACATTAGCCGACTTACTTTCTGCGTCTTCAGAATCACCATATTTGGTTCTCCTTCTTCACAAAATGGTTTTCAGCATCAAATTAACAACTATACCTGAGACTTTTTATGTAAAACTGGTGCAATAACCTGAATGTTTGTATCCCTTAAAAATTCCTACCCAGAGATGGAATCACCATTGGGATGGTATTAGGAGGTGGAGTCTTGGAGGAGGTGATTAGGTCTTAAGAGACAGCCCTCTTCAATAGGATTAATGTCCTTATGAATGAGGCTCCAGGGATCTCACTTGTTCTTTCTTCCACATGAGGACACAGCAAGAAGCCAGCAGTGTACATCCCAGAAAGGATCCCTCACCAGAACCCAACCACACTGGCCCTCTGATCTTGGACTTATACCAGTCTCCAGAACTATGAGAAATACATCATGTTGTTGTTGATGTTGTTGTTTATTTAATTTTTGAGGTGCTTGGGGTAGAACTCAAGACCCGCACATGCTTGGCAAGTGCTCTACCACTGAGCTACAATCCCAGCCCTAAATTCATGTTATTTATAAGCTGCCCAGTTTGTGGTATTTTCTTTTAGCAGCCCAAACAGCCTTGCTTAACACAGGCCTGCATAGCTTTTACTGTTTAATCATCTACTGGTTATTATCTCTTCCCAAGGGACAACTCTCAACCCACGGGAGTTTCCTCAGAGTTGATTGGAAAATTCTCTTGATATGGAGAAATGATACTCTTTAGTATCATGATGAAAGTCAATTTCATGATGAAGGTCAATTTCCTTGCATGACAGTGGAAGGTAAGTTCCGACTATTGGAAGCCACTAATAAACAACATGAATTAGGAATCTGCTTCACCAATCCTGACCCCAACTCTACCTCCATCCTCCCCTCCAAGCAGTTGGAAGACCCACCCTCCCCTGGAAACTGAACTGGGAGCAGCTGTACCACTTTCCCATACTTACTTCCCAGGTCTCTGGAAGTGTGGGGCGGGGGACTCAAATGGAGCATTTAAAGGTCAGCAGCCATCTAGGAACCACAGGTAAACCAACCCCTGCCCTCTCATCCTTCTTTTTCCCAAACCGTGCTCTCACCATGTTGCAGTGAATAAAGGTCATTTCAGTAAATCCCATTTCTGATGGCAACTACAAAGTTTCCAAGTCCCAAAGACCACCCATCTCTGAGATGATTTGCAACTTTGAGGTCCCCAAGACCACCTTTGGGGTTATTTTTTTTTTCCTTTGGGGTTATTAATTTGGCAGAAAGACCCACAGAACTCACTAAAAGCAGTTTACAGCTGGCTCCAGTTTAATACAGTGAAAAATACAGATGAAAAGTAACCGAGGGAAGAGAAACCTAAGGCAGGGCTCAGGAGAGTTTCAAACAAAGGAGCAGTGCACAGAACTTGCAATTGTCCTGTCCTAGAGAAGTTGTATAGACTGTGCTTACTCGTCTCAGAAATTATGTGTGAAAATACATATGGGTTATTGCTAACCAGGAAAGCTTCCAACCCTTGGTATCTAAAGTTTTTATACCTGGTCATATACACATGGTCTCTCCACCTGCATGGCTGACCTTAGTCTCTGGCCCTAACAAGAGGCTAAGCTGATGCTATTTGGACCAAAACTGACACCATAAACCATGTTGTTAACATAGATTATGTGGCATGGTCCAAGATCCCCAGTAAATTAAGATACTCTTATCAAGCAGGACATTCCAAGGTTTAGAGATCTCCTCTCAGGAGCCAAGGGCAAAGTCCAGGCCTCTGGGCAAGAGGAATCCTTTACTACACACCTTTATAGACAAAATTATGACAGTCAAACATGAACCTTTCAAAATGGGCCCAACTGGTTTTAGAAGTATGTTCAACAAGTCATTCAAGAATTTAGCAAGTAATTTCTGTGATACTGGACACTAAACAAGAACTCACTCCCTTTGTTTCTAGCCATCTGAATATATCTGTTTCTGCTTGAAAGAAACTGTGTGTATTAGTCCATTTTCTCGCACCATAATTAAATATCTGAAGCAGGCTAACTTTATAAATAAAAGAGGTTTACTTAGCTCATGGTTCTGGCGATTTCAAAGCAAGGCACCAACATTGGCTTGGCTCTGGTGAGGATTTCATGGCAGATGGTGAATGGTGAAAGAACTTGACAATACCAGGAGCACCTGTAGGGGCAACTGACCACATTTAAAACAAACAGGAAGCCAGCAAGAGATTCAGGAGCCAGGCTCTCTTTTAACAACCCATTCTCATAAGAGTTGAGAGGTCCTATGGAGCTACCTTAATTCCTTCTGAGCATAGTTTTCCCAATGACCTAGGGACTTCCCAGGAGGCTCTACTACTTAAAAGTCCCACTACTTCTCACCCCACTAGGGATCAAGCTCCTGACACAAGAACCCTTGGGGAACTTATTCAAACTAGATCCAAACCACCACACCATGACTAAGCTTTTAACAAGCAAACCCAATTCTTTACCAGTCTGTTTCTGAAAAGGGCTAGAAAACTGTTTCCCCTTCTATGTGTATTTATCTCCCTTGGGCTTTCACTAGTCAGAAGGGAATTAGCCAATTGTTACTTCTTTACTGGCTGTAATGAGATTTAGATTCAGATTAAAGATGAGGGATGCAATATTCTCATAAAGAAGAGGAGAGAGAAAGTCTGTTAAAAAAAATAAGACATCAAATAATCTGGTGGAACTGCATCTAAATCAACAACTCAGGAGGAGGAGCCAAGGAGCACAATCCACATCAGAGCTCCTCTCAGAATTTCCATATAATGAGGAACTTGTTCCCTGTATGAAGAAATAGCTCTGAAGATTCAGAGAATTGAATCTCTCTCCCTGATGCTATATATGATATAAGAAATGGGACCAATCTCTACCTGGTGAAACAAGATGTTTCCATAGAAAAATTCAATGAAAGAGTTTTCCCAAATTGCAGTTCATTGTATCAGTGAATTGCCCTGTACAATTTAAAGGTAATTAAATACAATTTATCTTATATATTTGTATCTTTGATTCCATTGTACGAACAAGAATCTGACCTAGTAACAAATTATATTGTAGATTTTGATGTTTGACATATTAATGTATCAGAGTGTTTTGTTTAAAAAAGAAAGAAGAAGGCAAGAAAGAAAGAAAGAAAGAAAGAAAGAAAGAAAGAAAGAAAGAAAGAAAGAAAGAAAGAAAGAAAGAAAGAAAGAAAGAAAGGAAGCCTAATGTGGGGCTGAGGTTGTGGCTCAGCGATTGAGCGCTCACCTACCACGGTGGAGGCCCTGGGTTCGATCCTCAGCACCACATAAAAATAAACAAATTAATTAAAGATATTGTATCAAATTATAACTAAAAAATAAATATTTTTTTAAAAAGAAAATGTGTAATGTGTAATGACTTCTAGGTGGCCTGCCCAACAATTTGTGAATTATAAATACATAAGAGCTCGGTGCCGTGGTACATACATTTAATCCCAGTACCTGGGAGGCTGAAGCAGGAGGATGGCAAGCTCAAGGCCAGCCTCACCAACTTAGAGAGGCTCTCAAAATAAAAGGGTTGGGTGGTATCTCAATGACAGAGTACTTGCCTAGCATATACGAGGCTCTGAATTCATCACCCAATACTGCTAAATAAATAAATACAGAAGAATGAAATTGAGGGCTTTTTGGGGAATGGGGTTTGTTTTGTTTGTTTGGTTTTTGTTTGTTTGTTTGTTTGTTTGTTTGTACCAAGCATTGAACCCAGGAGCACTTAACCACTGAGCCACATCCCCAGCCTTTTTTACTTTTTATTTTGAGACAGGGTCTCACTAAGTTGCTTAGGGCCTCACTAAATTGCTAAGGCTGGCTTGAACGTGTTAGCCTCCTGCCTCAACCTCCCAAGCCACTGGGATTACAGGCAGGTATCAGTGCCCTGCCCAAAATTGAGGTTTAATGGTAATATTTATAACCAAATGTTCTCTTTAAATTTTCCATTGTGCTACAGCAGCACCCCTAAAAATCAGTACATTGATCAAAGTTTACTATCATGATCACATAGAACAATCAGGTTAAGTCATCATTTTAATGATATGCATTTGCAATGGACCATAACTGATATTGTTTTCACAGGACAAAACTTCACTCTGGAGGATTTCATTCTGTTCCATGC